GAATTAGACACATTTCTCTTGCCATGCAGACATATAGAGACACACACACACACACATGTACACACATACAGAAACACACACACACACACACACACACATACATACACATGTGCACACAAACACACAGACACACACAGAGACACACACAAATAGAGACAAACCATCATGACACATCTTAACATGACATTGACTCTTACATGACACATTCATCCGATCGAGAGGCAGACAGAAATTACGACAGACAAAGACACAGACACACAGATAGACACACACACAGACAGACACAAACACAGACACAGACACATACAGACACACACACACACACACCTGGATCGATAACAACAACAACACACACACACACACACAGATACACAGACACAAACACAGACAAACATACAGACAGACACAAACATACAGACAGACACAAACATACAGACAGACACAAACACAGACAAACACACACACACAGAAACAAACATACAGACACACGCACACAGACACACACACAGACACACACACAGACACATACAAACAGACACACAAAGACAACCACCGGTCGCTCAGCTCTGCTCTGTACAGTCTGTTGGAGATAGAGGCAAGGGAGGCAGGGACACACAGACAGACAGACAGACAGACAGACAGACAGACAGACACACACACAGAGACACCCACCGGTCGCTCAGCTCTGCTCTGTACAGTCTGTTGGAGATAGAGGCAAGGGAGGCAGGGACACACAGACAGACACACAGACAGACAGACAGACAGACAGACAGACAGAGACACCCACCGGTCGCTCAGCTCTGCTCTGTACAGTCTGTTGGAGATAGAAGCAAGGAATGCAGGGACACACTCCGAGTCCGCCTGCTGGCCGGCCTTGAGAGCTCTGGGGAGGGGAGTGGGGGGGGGAACACAAGTCAATAATAATAGTCGAAATTTAAGAAATTTAATGTTTCGTTTCCTCAACTTTACGATTGTCGGGAATTTAACGTTTTGTTTCCTCAACTTTACGATTGTCGGGAATTTAACGTTTTGTTTCCTCAACTTTATGATTGTCGGGAATTTAACGTTTCGTTTCCTCAACTTTACGATTGTCGGGAATTTAACATTTTGCTTCCTCAACTTTACGATTGTCGGGAATTTAACTCTTTATCTCTCGTGTCAATACATTTTCAGGTAACCTACAAATATCGGCATCAAAATCAGGACACTGGATAAAAAAAAAACCTCTGTATTTCTGCGGGCGGTAAACCCACTATGACGGGGCATTGTGTAGGTACAAAATCTAAAATTGCCACATATGTCATTAAACCTGTCATTAAATTGGTCAAAAGTGAGCCTTCTCTCGCTCACCGACAAATATTGTGGATGGGATTACTCCCTCTTCCTCTGTTACTTTCTCTCACTCATCGACAAATCTTAAGAAACTTTCTCTCACTCATCGACAAATCTTAAGAAACTTTCTCTCGCTCACCGACAAATCTTATGTATAGCATTACTTCCTCTATCTCTGTTTCTTTCTCTCATTCACTGACAAATATTGTGGATGGAATTACTCCCTCTACCTCTGTCACTTTCTCTCATTCATCGACAAATATTGTGGATGAAATTACTCCCTCTACCTCTGTTACTTTCTCTCACTCATTGACAAATCTTATGTATAGCAATACTTCCTCTATCTCTGTTTCTTTCTCTCACTCACCGACAAATGTTGCGCATGTCGTTACTTCCTCTACTTATTTTACTTTCTCTCACTCACTACAAATCTTATGTTACTTTCTCTCACTCACGACAAATCTTATGTTACTTTCTCTTACTCACCGACAAATCTTATGTATAGCATTACTTCCTCTATCTCTGTTTCTTTCTCTCACTCACCGACAAATCTTACGATACTTTCTCTCACTAACCAACAAATATTGTGGATGGCGTTACTTTCTCTCGCTCACCGACAAATATTGTGGATGGCGTTATTTCCTCCACCTCCGTTACTTTCTCTCACTCACCGACAAACGTTGTGTATGTCGTTACTTCCTCCACCTCCGTTACTTTCTCTCACTCACCGACAAACGTTGTGTATGTCGTTACTTCCTCCACCTCCGTTACTTTCTCTCACTCACTGACAAACGTTGTGTATGTCGTTACTCTCTCCACCTCCGTTACTTTCTCTCACTCACCG